TGGGCGGTGATGGTGGAGGACGGTGAAGGTTGGGTGTCGAGAGTGGGTGCTTGTCTCGCTTGAGAAATGTTTGCGGTCCTACAAACTGGTGGAAGGTGCTTGTATAGGCGAAGGCAGTGGTCAGTCGTGTGAGTGGAAATACAGAGCAAGAGCCGGTGGGGTGATGGCCTGGGTCGCAAGAGAGCGTTGGGCGGGCGTAGCACACGGACCTGCCGCGCCCCGTGGCTGTGCTGAAATCATGTCGGGCTCGGCCGAATCACTCGCTGATTGGTTCACGATGCGGCTGTGCTGTGGACTGCCGTGATTGGCCTGGTGCGAAGCAGTGAATCGTTCCTGAGGCAAGAGCTATACACAAGCAACGTACGGGCGTTCGAACTCCTCGGTCATGTGGCGTTTCTTTCGTCTCGCACAACATGAGACGAAAACCGTTGTCTCGTGAGGAGAAACTCGGTCGGCCAACGGCAGAGCCTGCTACGAACCAAAAAACGAACCCTTCCAGTATGTCGAGACCAGGTATCCCCAACCAAACACCTACTCAAGTCCAAATCGACAATTTGACTCATTCTACTGCTCTACATATGACACATCGCCTTTGGACTTCTCAACGGCGAAACTTGCGTGAACTAGCAAGCATACAACATGTGCATCACCTGCAACTCTGCGACGCCAGAACGCCATTCAGGTGACTCTTTCGGACGTTCTTCGCTCTTACTACGCAGTCCGACAGAGTCGTTCGCCCATCACCAGTATCACAAGGGAGCATCACTCTGGACTCCGTTTCATACCCCTGGAGGCTCTGGTTTGCTCGAGGAGGACTGCAGCTTGGAGCAATGCCTTTCCGCCTACTCGTACACCGCCCTAGATTTCAGCTCGGCGTAGGCAACTACGCGAAACTGCATGCCTGTAAAGCAAACTGTTCGGAAACCAGCAAAGTCACACTCTAGTTGTCGTCGCGATCCCAAACTTTGGGTAGGATTGCGAGAGGACCGGCGGATCTCATCGCTCTATTTACCGTCACACAAACTTATCATTCCCCTGATCACTCCGTCATAACAAACCTCAAGGGTTACAACGCCATCAGAAACAAGCCCCAGCGCTTTATTGGACCCCAAAGGCTTAGCAGTGGCTCGGTCGCGAATCCGGTCTCCTAATTCGTCGTATCCGCAGAGTCAGCCACTCCCGCGACCTCGGGACCCACCCATCCACCAGCCTGCAGCAGAGCGTCGCGCCCTTTGCAGGAACGCGCCAGCCCTGGAGAGCTGTCATGAGGCTCTCCGCAGTCTTATATCCACTCTATCCTGCGTCGATCCGTCTGCGTTACATCCTTACGTCCACGCCCTGATCATCAGTGCGCGATTTGTGCAAGGCTCCATACCTTAGGTCCCAAACCGCGATCGCACGCCCACCTAGGAAACAACCGAACACCCTGGAGTCTACGTTGACGCTGGGTCACCTACTTTGCAAGTTTTTAGCTTGATGTAGTCTGCAGACCTGTTCTGAACACAGCAAGCGCGCCGTCATGTTGCAACCCCCCGAGCCGGCCTCGAGGCCGCTGAGTATAAGGACGACGGGTACCAGTGCGACCCAGCAGGACAAGACTGGAGAAACCTGGAAGATGAACGTTACCAAGGAGAATTGCTGGGAGGATTTGATACTCACGCTAGGTACGTCAAGTTGGTTCGCTACTGTATGTGGGGAAGGGTCCAGCAGGCGTAGCACCTTCGCTCGAGCCTGAGGGGTCTTTTCGCGAGGGCACCTCATACAAGGAAAAAGCTGAACACCCTGGAGCCTACATCAGCATACAAACTTGCAAAGTAGGCGACCCAACGTCAACGTAGGCTCCAGGGTGCTCGGCGTTTTCCTTGAATAGGGTGGTAGCGCGACGAACGCGCGCAACGCTACGAGTGCTTGAATATGTATAGTCGAATCTGGATGCATTTATGGCATTTGCTGGGACTCCGAGCAGATACTAACATGATCGATAGACGGGGGTGGCATTCGCGGCTACTCGAGCCTCCTAATCATCCAACGCCTCATGCACGAAATCGCCGAAGCCGAACGCCGAATACAAGCAGACGAAGGCCCCGTAGAAGGCAGCGAACGAATCGAATTCGACGAGAACGAGCTACTGCCATGTCATTATTTCGACTACATGTACGGAACCAGCACGGGCGGCCTCATATCCGTTATGCTGGCTAGATTACGAATGAGCGTACCACAGTGTCTCGAACTATACCGTAGAGTAGGACATGAGCTTTTTGGGCATAAAAGGAGCGTGCTGCCACTTGCTACCAAATACCACCATGAGCCGTTGGAGAAGGCCGTGCGAGATATTGTGAAGCAGTACTGTAAGGAGCACAATAAATGCACAGGAGACGACTGGCATCCATGGGTTCTGGAGGAAGAGGATACATCAGCAAGAATGCCATTGAATGAGTCGGGGATAGGCTCCTTGCAGAGCTCGACTACGTGGTCAAGTGGTGGTGCGTCTTCAGTCAGAGGCAAGCCAACAGAGCGGATATGTCAATCAATCTGCCTCACAGCCACCCACTCCGGCCAAATCGACGAAGCATACCTCCTCCGCTCATATAACCATCAATACGACCCCGATATCGCACCACCTTGGGTCACGTCTTACAACGCCGGTGCCGACAAGTTGAAGATATGGCAGGTAACGCGGGCCACTTCAGCAGCTCCTTTCTACTTCGAGATGCTCACGGCCGATATTGGCAGCGGCAAGAACAAAAAGCGAATGAGCTTCAAAGATGGAGGAATTCGCGAGAACAACCCATCCTACGCTGCCTATAGTGAACACGCCTCGCTGAAGGGCGACGACACAGAGCCAGGACTGTTGCTTTCTATCGGAACAGGACGACCAGATACCTCGAACGACGGATTCGCAGCAGTTTGGCCTGGTCCCTTGGGCAAAGTAAAGGCGCTGCAGAAGTGGAGCGAGAAGTTGGCTGTCTTCAAGAATGTCTTGATCAAATACACCGAGGGCGAAGACCGTCATAAAATGATGCGAACAATAGCCAAAGGAGAGCATCGATGGTACAAGCGCCTGAATGTCGACAAAGGACTTGAAGGCCTACCACTCGACAACTGGGTGAAGGGACCATGGACGAACCCCCAAACAAACGAAAGGAAAGAAGTTCCTGGTGGCAAGACACTTTCAATCATGGAGGAAGCGACAATGGCATATCTTGAGAGAGACAATATCGCCAGTCCAGGAGGCCTGACTGAATATCGGCCTCCTAAGATTGTTCTTCAACAGGTTGCGGAGAGACTGGTGCGGCATAGAAGGCTAAGAGAAGCAACGAAAGCCGAGGATCTCAGGAGATGGCAAACGCACATGGGTCAGTGGCTTACTGGAGAACTTAAGCCAGAGGATGCCATGCGCATACCTGTCCAGTCAGCGCCTAGAAAAGGATCACGGGGCTTCGTGTCAGGGTCGCGGCCCATTACGCCCAGCGGCGGCAAAGCACCCGACATCGCTTCGTGAAGTCCCGAGCTTTCCGGACAATTCCGAGATTCGGCTTTCGTCTCCTACACAGGTAGTCACCAAAGGCTCTCCCATACGAAGAAGCTCGTCTTTATGATTTGTACCCTCGCACCTTGGAGATGTACACCTTGCTGTGTTCCATGATGTGTGGATGTAGAACACAGCAGCGTGTACATTCTCGGTGTAGACTCCGAGTGTTAGGTGCAACTCATAAGAAACGAGTTTCTTCGTAAGTCAGCATGACTCCCATGCGCACAGCCACGATTCATACCCACCGCCGGTGTTGATCAACAGCCCGTAGCTTTCTGCAAAGCTTTTCTCTGCAGCATAGCGCGTCGCACCGGCGCACAGCATCAGGACTTGCTCGGAGTTGTCCCTTCAAGGCAACTATCATGGGAGTTTGGCGCTGTACTGACCTTCTGAAATGAAGTTTGACACTTCTGTCCATTCCACGTAGCATGTAGCATAGCGGCGCATCAAGATACCATCTATATTGTCATATTTCGGTAATAACATATAGTCTTCTCGCTATTCCCTGGCCACTGTATTCCCATGCGACATCTCTGCAAGTTTCCACAAAGATAGAAACCAGGTCATACCGCCTTCTCAGCCTCACACGACGTGCGACTGCCCACCACGTAATCGATGGCGGTGCGGGCATGGAACATGTGCATTATTCACTTGGCTCTCACTTGGCAGGAACATCCGCAGAGCTTGGTAAAAGCCTGATCAAATCAGGATCCCAACGCTTCGGCAGGCAGGTGAAGCGGGGAGGATTTCCTCAGTCGACGAGAGGGCCTGACTCGATCCACATCACCGTGACCTCATGCAATAGTATTGCATTGATCACTCAACCGCAACCCACAAGTTCTCCGCATTCTCACGTTGATGGCTGCCAAGACCCACTATTACCGAAGCCATGTGGTGTATCCTGCTTTTTTTAGACGTTTCTTGTAACTTTTTCTTGAAGACTTGGCTACGCGTAGGCGTGTGTGCTGTTCGCAGAGCTGTCGCGTCGCGGCAGGCAGTGCTGCGTGCGACACAAGACGATCGTCCTGGACAAGCAGCCCAATAACCTCACCCGCCAAGCATCTAGAAAGCGACGGAGGCTTGGCACGCCATCTGACTCCATGCTTGGACGTCTGGCGACAAGGCCTTGATCCCCATCTACCCCATGGCAAACCTCCACCCGTGATAACCGACAACGGGCCGATGTTGGATGGGGCACAGGGCGGAGTCTGCTGTCAGACGTAATCCCCCCGTTGTGATGTCAGCCCTGCGACTGTGCTAGGAACAGCAGCGTTTGATTGGATGCGCATGCAAGGCCCTCTGAGAAGGGAAAGTAGGCACGCGAGCAGTTTCCGCTGGTATATAGTTCCCCCATACTTCCCACGATGAAGGGCATCACCAACACAATCCACAGACTTCACTACTCTACAACACCACAACACTCTACGACTCTCGCTTGAGATTACGACTACCAACACCTTCCACAACAATGCATTTCCAGAAGCTCGCTGTTGTCTTTGCCCTCTCGGCCATCGGCCTTGCTCAGGACGTTGACCAGGACGATGTTCCCATGCAGTGCCGCAGCGTTTGCGATTCCGTCACCAGACTGACACGCGACTGTGACACCAGCACCAGTAAGTTCCTTTGAAAGACGGACTCAGTCCAAGCCAGTGAGCATTCCGATACTAACTTCACATTGTAGACGATGACATGGCCGAGCGCCAATGCATCTGCAACGGCCAAAACGCAAACACTGCCGTCCCCCTTTGCGCAGCATGCATCATGCAGAACGGAGGAGAGATGGACAATGGTACGCTTTGACTTCCTCTCCCTACCTACAACCCCCTTTTCAACCCCATACTAACACTTATACAGACGTAAACGACATCGTCCGCGAATGCGCCTTCACCACAACGTCCTACAACCCATCCGCCGCTTCTACAGCACCCCCGGCTTCTGCTTCCGGTACGTCTGCCGCTCCGAACGCTTCGAACGCTTCTTCCAGCGGTCCCGGTCCCATGACTAGCATGTCGGGGACTGCTTCGCGTCCTTCTGGTATGCCGTCTAACACCGCTTCAGCGACGGGTGCTTCCGGTTCTGGTGGTTCTGGCACCGGTAACAGTCCTTCGGGTACGGGTGCTGCTGGTTCCGGCGATGGCCCGGGCAATGCTGCGCCCGCCAACATGGCTTCTGCGGCTTTGGGACTCGGTGGTCTGCTCGCGGCTCTTGGACTTGGCTTGTAGATATGGTCGTTGCAAAGCTTGGTAGTAGGGATCATGGGTGGTGTGGAGGTAATTTATCAGGTGGATGTTGTTGCTATCTGGGTAGTTGATTGGTTTAACGACTTCAATGAAATTTAATATCTCCGAATTCTGTCCAGCCTATGTGACTGACTCCTGAGTTGCATCCATCGCTTTTGTCAATCTATTGACCAGGCTCAAAGAAATCGCTAATCGCTAAATCGCATTCGCTCACTGAGAAAACATGCTTCTGATCTCCGCATCCTCTTCCTCCATCTCCGCCAGCTTCTTCCCTGGCAATCTGACAGCGCGATCAAGCGCAACAGGCAAACCCCTGTGCCTACCCCTCAACATAACCAAGATCATGACAATCTTGCTTCCTGTGTACATGCCACCACTGAAACTATACGATTGATCCGGCAACCCGATACTGATTCCAATGGTTGTGTATCCGCTCACAATCTCGAACAGCATGGTAAACACGCTGTATGTACGCGGGTCCTCAATGGAGTGGTGTGTTTCGATGATCGCGATGAGGAAGAGCGCAAAGGCTATCCACCATACATCGTGCGACAGCTGGCCACGAACTTGCTGGCTGATGAGGGAAGGAGGTCGAGTTGGCGGGTGCGAGTTGAGGGAATGAATCGACATTCGATTAAAGTCCATAGTCACTGCTCGCTTTAAGGGAGCAGGGGCTGCGGGCACGTTGGCGACACCGACACCCTGAAAGGCTGTCATGCGGTGCTGAAGTTGACGGCCTACAAATGCAGTGCCGCGACGGCCGACTTTGCCGAGAGACTTGATAGGCGCAAGAGACGTTTTCTCAGTTTGTGATACAGCAGTAGTCAGAGAAGGCATCGCGGCGTCGACATCGAAGAGCGAGCTGGATGCTGAGTGCAGTTGCTCTGGCTCGGCCTCGTCGCCTTCGTATATGCCCAATGAGCGTTCTTCGTACACATTGGTTTTGCGCATAGTGATGATATGAGGGTACGCCGCGGTGTAGAAGACAACGAGCCACAGAACCTGTACGTCAAAGTACATTCCCGAGGGCGAGACGATAGCGTAGCCTCCAGTTGGAATCGAGAAGCCTTCGAAGAGTGAGATGAAGATGCGCTGTCCGAGTGGTATGACTTCTAGCGTCGGGTTCCCAATACTGAGAATCAGAATCAAGATCCAGTCTACTGTCACAAAAGAGCCGAAGGTTGCGATGAACAACCAGGTGTCTCGCGCAGGAAACATACTAGTATACACACGTCGTGGAAACTTGAGGATGAAATCGAAGCCTTCTTTCCATACGCCATACTCTTTGTCTTTGGAGAAGAGATCGAGAAGTGTGGACATGCTCCAGATGAGGAAGCGTACAAACACAGGAAAGGCTGCTGGTCCGGCGAGCGACAGTATCGTTACGATGACGAGGACGTAGTATGAGGACTGGAAGGGTATAAAGCCTGCGTCCAGTAGCGTAAAGCCGGCGTTACTGTACGCAGAAATAGCGAGAAAGATGCCAGCCCACCAAGGATTCTGCGCATTCACAGCGCACGCTTCTCTTTCATAGACGGACATGTAGGCCCCTAGTGCGATTCCGCCGAAGAACTGCCAGAGTATGAAGTATGCCGGCACGAACATGGAAAGGAACTTCAGCGCGCGGTACTCGACACCACCCAGGTACTCTCGCTGATCTGACGATAGGTTGAAGAACTGCCCGTTGCGGCCAATGTTGCGCTTTTGCTCGTTGACGAAGGTCTTCACGTTAAAGCCATCGCCTACTCCAGACTCTTCGGCCAGTGAGCGGCGACGTTTCGACATGCTCTGGTGACTCTGCACGTTGTAGATTGAATGTCCTGTTGTCGTTGCTGACATGGGTCTTTCGTGGGAGACGCGTTCTCGTATGGGATCCAGAAAACCGACATGCTGGGCTAAGCTTCTTTCTCTTGCACCAGGTGATATGGGCGATAATCCGGTTTGCGCTTGGTTTTCCTGGATTGGCGTACTGGGTGGCATATCCTCAACGCATGTCTCCAGCGGCGTGGTCATCTTGGATTCTGCTTTCGGCTTACTTCCTTTCTTGTTCTCTCCAAATGATCCCATGATTGGGAGCCCAAACATAGCTCCTGTCATTCCTACTACAGCCCCAACTTCTCCCTTTCGCGCGTTCCGCCTCTCTTTCTCAGCCTCGACAATATCCTCAAACCTCTTCTCGAAGATGTGTTTCCTGAAAGCGACGGTGAAGTAGCTAACCAGTACCTGGCTTCCCATCATCATCAAAACGGCCAATTCCACTTGCTGGAACGTGGTCAGCTGACTAACGTTCACGGAATTGAGTCCAGCCGCGGTCATGGCCTAAAGATGGGTGTACGAAGTCAGTGTTTGTCTCACATGCAGTTCGTACATAGGCAATTACTTACGCTCATGCACATGAACATGCTGTCCCACCACCCAATGCTTTTGGATGGGTTTGACGCGCCCCAGAAGATGAGTGTACCCAACAGGGTAACACTGATGAAGTAGGCATAGTGAAGCGTAATGAAGTTGACCGGCGGAATGTATGGCTTCACTGATTCAACAAGCGTGCGTATCTTAGGATGATCCTCCTCGAAAGCCTTCCATCTTTCTTCGATCCGATCCATCATTGTTCAGCCGTAGTTGCAGCAAACAGTTCCAGATGGGGCGACTGTAGATCGTATCGGGTTCGGGTTATCGGAGTAGCATATCGCGTAAGTTGTTGAGAACCCGAGATTAATTGTTCGGGGGAGTCGCACAAGAGTCGCGGTGTGTAAATCAAGATTTCGAACAGAAAGGATCGTTTGATCGACGCGCAATAGACACTGAAAGAGGGGATAGAAGTTTGTTAAAATGGGGTTGAGAGTCGAAGAAAGAAACGTGAAGTGACGTTTTGGCTGATTGCGCGTGTGCTGGCGAGTACGCACGCCCAAATATAGCGATAGGGGATAAAACAGGGTCTAGGGTGGCGCGGACACGCCGGGAGAGGAAGGGCCGACCCTGCAGACCAACGAAACACCACGATAACGTTCATCCACATCGTCTTTATGCACTTCACCGCTTCTCCCGACTTCTACTAAATCTCTGTTTCTCTTTTGTCCGCGCAAAGTGCTTAGACATACCGGTAATGAACCTGGCTCTGTCCTGTGTTCGATTGAACGTCTGCAGCAACAAGGTCCATGGCCGTGCTACTGAACTTTGCGATGGCTATTGCCTTCGAGTGGGGCAGGCCTACTTAGTTTGAGACAGACATACAAGTCTTACGTAGCCACATCCATGTGCTGGACAAGTAAGGCTGAGAGAAAAGTTGAGGCTGTAGTCTGGTTCACGCGGCAGGTGCGAAGGGTAGAAAAGTATTAGCATGAACATTGGGATGATTGGCCGGTATTCTCATGGTACGATCGCTAGAATAGAGCGCACACGCGAAGAAACACAGGTTGGTCATGGGCGACTCTGGTATACTAGGAGTCGGATAGGCCTCCTTACCAACAACGTCAACTCCATTGGCCCAATGTGCATCTGTACCATAGGAACCTCTCTGGACCATCAAATCCTGGTTCTGGTCTCTTTCAGCTGAAGGCACATTGGTCAAAAGGGGAACAAAAGTTTAAAACGTATGCATGGTTACACGGTCGCTTCAACTTGGTAGCGAAGTTGAATATTCTTGCAATTTCTTGACATACAAAAGTTTCGAGGTCTTCTCTTGCTTCACCAAAATTCCCACCAACACACCAATTCCAAAATACTGAGTCTCTAGAACTGAATACGAAGAGAGCTCAGTTGTGGCCACGCTCGTCAACACACACTTTGTCACCATATACCACCTTCCCAACCATCCAATCTCACCAACCATCGAAACAAAATGGGAGAGATACACCCACACCCTCCTCAGCCACTGCACACCCGCACGCTACAACATTTCAAGATGATCGAAGATCTAACCACAACCCTGCACAAAGACATACAGCAACAATACCAGTACCACAGGGTTATGTACGGAGATCTAGAACACGAGTATCTATTCCAAGCGATGTTGGCATGCGATCAAGAGATGAACAATCTCGTCATTGGGTACGAGAGAAAAGTACCACATCACGCGTGTGGAGAGGGAGCAATTAGGCTATGGGCCGGTACCGGCGAAAGAATCAAGCAAGCTGTGCTTTGGAAGGAATTCGAGAAAAGTTGGTGCCAGCTCCAATGTCCTCGTGCAAGATACAAGGGTGTCGTAACCCAGTTTCAAGAGGAGATTGTTTGGTGGGGGCGATATTCGCCTGAAGTCTTAACACCTTCAGGCGTTCGTTTTAGTTCGATGCGGTCGCCGCGTTCCTTGGCCGAGGAGCTTGATGCTACGGATCTGAATGAACAGGATAGGGAGCTGGCTGAGATTTGGCGGGGAGGAATGGGTATCGCGGGTGAAGATGAGGCGGAAGTGGATTGCGCCACCACTTCAGTGGAAGGTGATGGTAGAAGCAGCACCGCATCAACCGAAAGCGATGACGGCTCTTCACCAAGCCTGGAACTGGTTCGCCAATGCGATGATGGTAAGGATGAAGAACACACAGTGCTGCTTCCTAACGATCCAAGCGCTGATACACTATTCATCGGGGCGATGCGTGAATGCATGACCGGGGACGGTGGCTACTCTGGTGTGGTCTTTGATTGAATCGTTAACACGACCTTCATTGGTAGCCAGCATTTCTTGCTTTGCTTCCAAGCGCGGCGTACTGGAGCTTGGGTATTGGGAAATTTTCAGTCTATTAGCATTCAACGGATTTCATTACCCCTAGTGTACTTAACCAAAATCCTATGAGATGCTCATTACAATCGCGTGACCGCTTATCACTTATACGAGCTTGAACAGCTTCCCGCCCACACCGTCCCATTCTTCGTCCCACCGGTGTTCGCTCTCTTTGAGTGCGCCCTCCTTCAGGGTCTCTCTCAGCCTTGTATCGTTGCCGAAGAAAGTAGCCAGATGCAAGGCCAGCTCCTCAGAGCTTTGGAAG